GAGTAGGGCTGCAGGACATATACTGAGCAGGGCTGCAGGATACATACTGAGCAGGGCTGTAGGATATGTGTTGCGCAGTGCTGCAGGATATATACTGAGCAGNGGGCTGCGGGATATACTGAGCTGGGCTGCGGGATATACTGAGCTGGGCTGCGGGCTATACTGAGCTGGGCTGCGGGATATACTATTGATGGAGGGAAAATAGAAAACTTTTAATTCATTGGAATAATTTTAGTCAGTTAGCCTTGGGTGCCGGAATCTTGAACTCCAAGGAGAATGTTTGAACTACTGTCGTTTGAATATCACAAACCCCACCAAACTTCCGTTCAATGAAGGACCGACGTCGCTTCGACGTAGCATGCATCATCTTCAAAGCGAAAGCATAGCAGCCAGTTAGATCAATTAAAATCAGTTCATCATCAGTTTCAGAATTCATCATCTTTATTTTAAATTTAGGCCGTTAAGCGGCATAGAAGTCCTCTGACCCAAAACATCGTCCAAGACAATAAATTGCGCATTTCTAATTGTCGCACTTAAAGCGTAAGGCCTGAAGGCTTGGCCCCAATGGATGATTCGGTCCGACAATAGGCAGGGTGAGAGGTCCCGGGTCCCGGGCAGCTGGTGTAGATTGGATCATGGTAAAACTGAAGCGAATAGGATACTACGGATAGGAGACGGGAATAGGAAGAGGGACATCCACGAAGGTGCAGCAATCATTCGTCCCGGTACTTCATCGCTACATCACCAACCATCTTCTCCAAATCATCAACCGGCTTCACCGAAAGAGAACGAAGAATCTATCTCCCGCTGACTGCTGTCAGAGCGTTGTCATGACTGTCGCTGCTCTGGGGCTTTTTCTTAGAATTTTCATTAGAAAGGAGGACAAAAATCAGATGCTAACAACCTACAGTCAAGCATTGGTCTTGGGTCTTAGGGATTTTGACGTGATTTTCGGACTTATTTTACGTTTAACGAAGGAAAATTTAATCTTAGCTCGTCATTTCCTACATAACCCTCGATTATTGAGATATTTGATAACTAAGCAGGGCTGCATTATGTAGTGGGCAGGTCTACAGGGTAAATATTGAGCAACCTAGCTGGATTTAAATGGTGTAACAGAACTGCATAGACAACTTGTTTCTATTCGCCAGCAAAGCAAAAGTAGTGCAAGGTGACAATGTTAATACCATTAGTCCCTGGAAATTTTGATCATTGATATTTTCCTTGTTGAAAGATAATCTCCTTCATTGCAATATGTTCATAAACATTTCCATGTTCGCTTTCCCTGTTTATCAAGTCACGGCATTGGTGACGTCAAATAGCGAAGCTATATAAGCTCTGTCTCGAGGGATTAACTTCAGTCTTGGGAGAGGACGCTGACGGTATACCCCGGCCTTTGTTCCTGTCCATGTCAACCAGGACAGTAACCCTAAATTAACGTCTGAGTAAAAACGACCAAGCGTCTATACTCTAGACATATCTGTATTTCAACTGGACGACAAAGACATGAATATTGAAGCTCCAACTTACAAACTTTGGTCATCCTAAGCTGTAAACTGAACTTTTATCCTGAATATAACTAAAGTATTAATGTCACTTATTTGCTTAAATCGCAAGTTGACTAAAAATTTAAAAGCAAAGACTTCAGATTTGCGTATCTTAGAATCATTGTACATTTTTAAGCTTAGGTCCAGTTTAAATTCAGCTGTGAGCTCCTATCCCCTTGAAATTGTGAATAGATAGGTTTTTATGCCCTATTACTTGTAAATTTGGGTTCTAATTGTGTTTTGTACTTTCAATTGTATTAACTTGTTACTTTCTATGTATGTTCTAGATTCTACGAACTGACGATGGAGCTGGACTCCGAAACGTTTTCTATAAAGATATGAATATAACTAAATAATCATTTACGCTGTTCCTCAATATTCTCGGATCACGCTACAACTGGACCAACCCTCAAGTCTTACTTAATTACCATTCATATAAGAGGTTGCGCAAAAAAGTAACCTCTTACAGTAGAAAGGGTCAAATTAATAGAGTTGTGAAGTAAAAGCAATCTCAAAATACTCTTAGAAGTTTTAACAAAAAATCGTAGTCAGGAACAAGTTCACGATAATTTTATATTTTCGAAGAATTTCGGGTACCNCACGAGCCTGTCTCTTATACACATCTAGATGTGTATAAGAGACAGTGCTTATGGTATCCCTGTATAGTTAAATGAATACTGCTGGATACCTACCAATACTAGAAGTGCAAGATGGCTCTGTTTCATGGTATCCCTGTATAGTTGAATGAATACTGCTGAATACCTACCAATACTAGAAGTGCAAGATGACTCTGCAATACTAGAAGTGCAAGATGGCTCTGTTACATGGTATCCCTGTATAGTTAAATGAATACTGCTGGATACCTACCAATACTAGAAGTGCAAGATGACTCTGTTACATGGTATCCCTGTATAGTTGAATGAATACTGCTGAATACCTACCAATACTAGAAGTGCAAGATGGCTCTGTTACAATTTTTTCATTTAATTTATTTTAAGGAAATACTGTCAGCTTAGTGCTTAAAAACTGTCAGCTTAGGTGTTTATAGTTTTTATAGACCCAATGTTTCACATTTGTATGCACTGTTATATTATGTGCAAATCGAATAATATGCTCTGAATGTGCTGTTATTTTTATAAACCAAGCTTTCTTGAATATAGTAATGTACAGAACTTTCTATCTCAATATTTACAATGTCAAAAACTCCACTGAATAAAAGTATTATTGAATGACCAGACAAGATTTTTTGTTACGATGACTGGCAATCGTAAATTCGATAATTTAATGCAAATCACTGTGACTCGTAGATTTGTATTAGCATGAATAATTTTTATTTGAACAGTAGCACCAGCCGATGTTGATTCCCGCTGAAATGCCTTTCATTATACAAGAATTTTTGCTGCTAAATACGAATATATTTTAGCTTTTGTGGTAGAAGCTAGATGAGTAGTAAAGTAACAGTAAATGGTATGAATAGTAAAGTAAAGTAAATAGAATAGTAAAAATAAAGTACGCTTTCTCCTTGTAAAATCATATTAGAATATTAAAATACATACTATATTGTGATGACACTCGTGTTATGAAACTTTCATCCTACATATACGTATTATGAATTGAACATTTTAAATTCAAAACATATATTGATTACGATATTTCTCTTTAGTTTTCTTGTGGATCAACACAATCCAAAATACTGTTAAGGATTTAGTTTCGGTGATACACTTAGCGGAGAGATCATCGGGCAGAAATTCCATTTCCGTGCGGTTACTGTAATAGTTTAGGTAATTTTGTCTAATTCTCTCAAGTTTTATTGATCAGGTTACATCATTTAACTTCGAAAAAAATGCATCGAAAAACGGAGATTCACTCCGCGCATATATTCATTCATTCAACATGCAAATGGTTACCATGAGTAGTATGTAATTTGCCGATGAATGATGAATGTACTGTAGATGTACCATAAGTGTTGAATGGCAAGAAATTTCGCAGCACCATGAATGTTGACGTACCATGAAGGTCGATGTATCATGAATGCCAACGTAACATGAATAATGGCTATTGATTTTGTCTCCAAGTCGACAAAATGGATGAATTATTTTGTACCCTGTTGAATCGACCGGCTACTAGTTTTAAAGGACAGATAATTTTTAGTTTACATCGTTATTTCATTCGTTCAATCGGCGACATAAATTTTCACTGCATGAATTTGTTTAGATATCATTTGAAAAATAAGCGCAACTCCTACAATAAGCGAAAAGTTTTGACAATTGACCGTTTGACTGATAGATAATTAATAGTTATATTCCAAAGAACTAACTTATTACGAATATATTTCAGTCCGTAAATTTGAAATATTGAGACTTACTTATCGAAACGGTATCTTTTTCTCAGTAGATGAGCGTCTACTCGGGCCAAGCCATAAATTATAAATTTTTAATTATATTTAATCTCAGAACTGCAGGCCAATTATCGAAATTAATTTGGAGAATAATAGCTCAGCCACCACTCACTGCGATATCTTTTCAGATGAATTGGGCTTCCAGATATCATTTTTCAGCTTAAGTCGCTCGTCGCAGCTCTTAAGAAGTTAACCATCCCAAATTACGTAATCTAAATTACCCCAAATTATCTTAATACTACCCCAACACTTTATTCAAATACAAGCTTAACAATAGAAAATCAACAAACGGTGGGAAATTTCCCACACAACTCCTAGAATAAGCGAAAAGTTTTGCCAATTGATATTTTGACTGATAGACAATTAATAGTTATATTCCAAAGAACTAACTAGTTATGAATATATTTCAGTCCGTAAATTTGAAATATTGAGACTTACTTATCGAAACGGTATCTTTTTCTCAGTAGATGAGCGTCTACTCGGGCCAAGCCATAAATTATAAATTTTTAATTATATTTAATCTCAGAACTGCAGGCCAGTTATCGAAATTAATTTGAAGAATGAAAGCTCAGCCACCACTCACTGCGATATCTTTTCAGATGAATTGGGCTTCCAGATATCATTTTTCAGCTTAAGTCGCTCGTCGCAGCTCTTAAGAAGAAGGCTCATACTATTAAATTAGATTAAAGATTAACTTAGGAATTGAGATGACGTTTTACTTTTTTAGAACGAATCTCAGAATTGTTTCTATTCATTCATATAATAGAAAATTTCATTTGAGTTGGAGAAAACCAATATTCCTACATCCATATATTTTTTGCTTTCATCTGCTCTTCAATGTGAAATTGTATGAAAAATCGTTGTTCATTTTGAATCATTGTTCATTTTGAACAATGCTATGATTGAATTTTTATATTCTTTAATTAAGCTAAGTTAAAATAGTCCGCTTTTAAAATTTCTCTGAAGAATTAGCCGGAGAATGGCGTCAAGGCCCCTCTCGTTTAAAGCGGCGCATTAGAAGGTGCAATTAAGATGAACGATGTTATTATAAACCGTTTACTGCGCGTTAAGTTAGTACAAAGAGGTCATACATCACAAAATAGACGCGATATGCATCTTGATAACGAAGAAAACATCCACTGATATCGTAAAGTTAATTACAGATAGAGATCACATCGGACATTGAATAGAATAAAGCGAACAGTAAGAAGTCACAATTGAAATAGAAGAAAAATAGAACATTAGCTACTAACGTCATTGATCTTGCCTTTCGAATTGTGAAGGAGGAGGAATTATATTTAAATCTTCTTTTGGTTCATTATCAACATTAAATGACGAGGTATTAGTTATAGAATCACATTGATTTGGCACAACAATGGGTTGCAGCATACAAGAATTTGTTGGATCTTGGTCAGGACATGAAGCAGCAATAACTGTGCCTACTCGGTCAATAATCAAAGTCGATGCTAATGAGGTGTGAACACTACTAAATATTGGCGAACTGAAAGTGCACGGTGCTCCTAAGGTGAACGATGAACCTGCTTCTACATTGTTTGTAGCTAAAACATCATTTAGCTCTACGATAGATTTGATTTCACTGCTGGTCCATGCATTCATTGCATTGGAAGCGATGTCATCAGGAGATCTCGCAGGCTTCCTAGGAGGTCTACAAGAGTTGCACGGCAGCAGCGTCTTCTCGCTGGCTCCGTAACTCTTCATGGAAGTCGAGGAGTAATTTGGCATGGGCCTGGAATGACAGTGCGAATTGTCCTCCGGAATCAAAGGTGAAGGAAATGGCAGCGGAAAACTTGTGCAGCCCTCACGAGGGTGGCACACCTCACACAGAGGGTATTGTACACAATTTCTAGGAACTGAATTTGTTCTTTGCAGCGTCGAAAAACACGGATTTTTGGTTATGACATTAGTTGCTTCTATCAAACCAGTCACCGTTGGGAGATGATCGTAACTAACCGAGTGATGTCTGGAACAAAGCAGTGTAGACTCGTGGACTTCTCTGTTTTCGTTATCACCCGTTCCGGTACATTGGCTTTCATCAGATGGAGCAAACTTCACGGTCTTTTGATTGAAATTTCTAGGTAAAGAATGCATGTGTGATGAGCCGGTGAGCAGTGAAACAGATTTTGAGGGACCAGTTTCCAGGGAATAGTTCAAGGAAGTTTCTTGAAGTTCCAGCCCTTCGTGTTTTCTGGAAGCACTCAGGATATGTGGAGGACGCCACATAGCGGCCATCGTCTCCGATGTTTCTGATGTTGTAGGAGGTTGCAGCCGAGCGTCAATCTGGGTGAATAAATACTTGCAAAATATCTCGAAGCGTTCCAAAAACATTATCTATAACTCTAAGCAAAATATCACCTGTCTCGAAGCTCTCAAGTCTAAATAGTTTATTGATATTGTTTTTCTCACTAACCATCAATGTAAAAACTATCCCTCATGCTTTTTATGCTATGAATTTCTCCTAACAGCCCACGTTAATTAAAAGTCTTTTGATGAATTCAGACATCAATTTACTCCGTATATCGAGAAAACGAAAGTCTGATAGAAACTCTCGACTTTTTTTTTGAGAGCGCTGTCCACACTCACCAATTTTCCAGTGACTGAAGGCGCGTTATTGGCTTCATTTGAGTTCGTGGCAGAATGAGGATTCGACGAAATGGATTTAAGGATCCCTTTGGTTGGTGACGTCACCGTTGGCGCCGAGTCGTTTATTAACTTGACTGTAGATCCCCCTGTATGCAAACAACCCGAAGGTTTTTTAAGCATTCCGAATGTGTTATGTTTGATCAAATATTAAAAGTAACGTTCAAAAACAACGAAGTCTATGTTTAAAGTACTTTGACATCCCCACTTATTTTTACCTGTGGACAACTCAGAGGTGAATCGGGTGTTAAAAATGTGTTGTACTGATCAAATATGAAAAGTAACGTTTAAAAATCTAGAAATCTATCTTCAAAGCATTTTGAAATCCCAATTATATTTTTCTCTTGACAACTCATAGAATTATCGGGCATTCAAAATGTCGAATGTTTGATCAAATATGAAAAAAGCATTCAGAAATAACGAAGGCTAATTTCGTTACATGTAAAATTTTAAGTTTTTTTTACGTTTAATTCGTGAAAAACCCGGCAACATTAGAAACGATTTTTTTTAATATTCTATGGCATTAAAGAGATAATCAATAAAAAATCAGATCAAAATATTTATAAATATATTTTTCTGTCAAATTTAATACTCGTTTTCGAACTTAGAAACTTTGAAATATGCATGTAAGCGTTGAGTCATATAATTTGGGTCATGCATTAAATATAATGTAATATATATAACATACTGAAGCCTCACTGTTGTATTATTAAAGAACGCTCCTACATTAATGATGCTTAATTGAAGGAGAATTAATTATTGACGACTGCAATTATTAAACCTTTGCCCAATTGGTGCCCTTTAATTCTCTATTTAGAAACTTAATTGACGTTCTGTTATAATAGGAAACTGATGTATTTTTAATATATAATTGTGATAGATTATTGATGACGACACATAACACTTTGATAGCACTGCTCGTGTTGTAAGTGAATGAGCTCAGATGCATTTCGTTATCCACTAATTAGTTGAATTATCATGCGACTCGTAAAATAAAGTGTGCGCCAATTGTACTCATTTTCAAAATGGGTAACTTAAAAATTAAGTCATTATAAATTCAATGAAAAACTCGTTTATTCAATATACCTGAATCGTTCGCAGTATCTATGGCAGCGATTATAGCAACAATAAAAAAAGATTTTAAAGTACCTGAATCATTCGCGGTATCTATGGCAGCGATTACAACAACAATAAACAATATTTCAAAGTACCTGAATCATTCGCAGTATTAATGGCAGCGATTAAAACAACAATAAACAATATTTCAAAGTACCTGAATCGTGCTCAGTATCAACGGCAGTGTGGCTGGCTGTGTCGTGTGTGAGGGCGACGCAGGAGTGGGTGTCTCTGCAGAGTCTCCGCGCTTTGCGTCGTCGCACTGCGGTCGCCGCTGCAGCTCCGAGGCTTAGAAGCGTCAGTAACACCACGCACACGACGGCTAGTAAGGTCCACCGCCACCACGACCATGTCATGAACACGCCTCATGAAACATTTCAAATATTGTATTTGAAAACATTTGATAAAAAGAGCATCTAATTGAATTATGATAGATTGAATATTTAGAATGAATTATTAAAAAACAGAGTATATAAGAAACTATGATAAAGAGAATATATAACTGAATTATGATCTATCAGCGATTGGCCAGACGCAGATATCAATTATGAATGATTTTAAAATAAATTCAGGAGCGAATTCGGTTAAAATTTCCTTACATTGAGCAGAATGAACAATACGACCTACATAAATTCATGATAATTATTTGATTAGTCAATATTATATTGTATCCTAATTGACCATTTAAAGCCGGAGCGATCATTATAATTGAAAGAATGAATGGAAATATAAATTTTTCCATGAAAGGATCTTTTTCACCTGGAGGTCATCAAACCTTGAACTAAATGGATGCAAATTGTTTGAAATATTTTGAAGGGATAGAAATGTCAATAATTTCATTTGTATTTTTTCTAAGAATTGTTCTGATATTTCATTTGCGTAGAATATTTTTCCAAGGGAAGTCTAGATTGATTGAAGTCATTTTAATGGGGACATTTTATGGAAACTCTCAAATAGATCAATGCAGTGAGATTACGTACACATGCGTTTGAAAGTAGATGTCATGATGAATTCAAAATTAGAGATAAAACTTCCGGGTTTTTGAAACAATTTTGTGTAATCCGTGTTTTCGAATAAAAATAATTTCGTTTTCCTGTAATCGAAAATTTTTGTTAGAATCGAAATCGCACAAAGTTACAGCCGAGTTATAATTTATTTCCGACAGAATTTCCAATCGCTAAAGCTTCAGTAGAAGTTAATAAAATATTGATACACTGTAAAGAAAATTTTCTCCAAAATCAAACTAGAAATGAATGAAACTTGAAAAACTGTTTTTCCTATTATAAGATAGAGTGTTCCTGACTGATACCTGTCTAATTAAAGTTCATAGTTTCATGTAGTTACAACAACACCTGTGTCTTTGCAACACAGGTGTAAAAGGAGCCAAATGTTAATTACAGCTTTAAAATAATATAAGAAATAGACACGTGCTACGACTGTAATTATTCAAAATTCTGTAATTTTGAACAACGCGAACATGGCTATCAGACGTTTGTCAACTTTGAAGGTCTTGAATAATTGTATAGTACTGAAATCTTTGATTGGAGTCCGGAGACTTTTCGTATAAATTTATTAATAAATATAATTGAATAAATCAGAAGCGCCTAGACAATAATTTTACAATTTCATACGCTATAATTAGGATTGAGGAGTCTCAGGCCTTATTTTGAATGAAATATGATGTAAATATGAATTCATTTCTCAGTCCATATTCCAACTCTTGCTGCAAACGGGAAATCGGAAAAGCTGGTGCGAATTACTTATTCACCGCGCAGCATTACGCAGACTAAGCACCACAACGAGGAAGTTAATTTAAAGGGAACATGACCGGAAATAAATTATATATATAATATATGGACATTATTGCAATGAAATAAAAAGGTCTGCATAGTCGGTTCTTCCCGGGATATTTTCGAAGAAATAACGGGGGGATAACGTAAAATAATTGTACGCGTTTAGTGAAATATTCATTTTTAAATACTGGCTTAGGATATTAAAGGTGTCGTATATGATATTTAGTAGAAAAATTTCACATATCCCATGGGTTCTGCTCGCACGGAGAGCTACAGATTGAAAATGTAATGCATTATCGATCAAATGGAACTTTAATATTAATGTCCTGCTTATACTTCTAATTTACCAAAAAGTTCAAACTATACCTACCAACCACTTAAAGTGATGTCATATATCCCTGGCTTAAATTATTATGTCAAATTTATTCTATCTAATATAATCAACTACGTCTTGCGCATGTATAATAAATTGCACAAATGATTTTCAATGGCCTAAGATTTTCACGAGTAGACAAACAATAGTTGTACTTCGCGGAAATACGGAACTCGTTCTTCTGAAGGTAAAATGATAATTGATTTCGAAGTCACGAGCGGATCAAACTTCCCCATGGGACATTAAAACTTTCCAGATTACTTGACGAACAAATCATTGTGACCTCAAGATTAGAAAAAATTAATTTCCGTTTTCCCTTTTAGAGCAATTTTCCTCTCTTGAAGTTGGAGACTGGGTTATCGATCTGCTTCTGCTTGTATATTTTAAGCATGATATTTTTCATGGCCAGCTATTAATAGGAATTTTTGTAATTATAACTAAAGACAAAGTCAGTAGTTGGCGCTGAGTATGGTACATGAATGTTTACAAAACTTCTTTAATTAAGCTGAATAGTATGAAGAAAATGACTTAAAGCGGCACCACAGTGACTATCTTAGTTAGTCAGTCTTGACAAAGATATTTTTGACAGAGACAGTTAGTCAGTCTTGACAAAGACTTAGTCAGTCTTGACAAAGACATTTTTAACAGTGAATTGCAATGAAAGTTTATTCAACAAGTCTGCTATTTTATAGCAGACTTGTTGAATAGACTATCTTACAAAGGAAAAGAAATCTTACTCACTTCATAAGAACTTATTTAGCATTATTTCAAAGGCAACTTAAATTTTAACACAAAATGAGTTTGAATCTTTTGGGAATACTTAAGTGTTTGGTTGAATTTTCATCCATTTACATTTTATATACAACTTTACAAGCTGTAGTCAAGTGTTTGCTCTGGCAACTTAATGTCAGCGAGTTCATGAATTTGAAGTTCATCAATTTAAACCAGCAAGAAAATTACTCTTCATTAAACTAAAATTCTTAATTTACACTGTAGACATTAGAAACTTCACCAATAGACCGAGGTTCAGTGCTTTCGCTTTTTTGAACATAAAAGTATAAACCATCATGCAAATTGCTAGTGATCAACAAGTTAAATGGGAAATAAAAAGCAATGTTAGAAAGAAGCCTTCGATAGCAATGAAGCTCTCAGCATTTAGAGCTCAGTGCTGATGCAAACTTCTTCAATGAAGCGTCACACGTAAAGATTTTAATGTTTTAAAGAAAGTCACTTTGAAGAACAGCTTTGCTAACGTAAACTGGAACTCTAGTGAGTAAATAAGAATTTATTCCGTTATTTGAAGACGAGCGCCAAAGTTCAAGTTATTTCAACTGAGTCTCGTTATTGATGGTCGCCTTTAGGGTGATTTTAAACAGCAGATTTAATGGATGAAACCTTTTTTTCGTTGAAAACATCGTTGGCCCTTCTATAACGATGGCAGTAAAAGAAGCAAACACCCCAACTTCAGAACGCCGCAAACTCTTTCCTTTGCTTGGAAATATCAAAGGAGAGAAACTTCGGTAAACTTTTTCTTAGATACTGAAAAGCAAAGCCTGCACGGGCGAATGTGAAAGGCATGACCGACACTCGCGACTCGCAAACATGGAGGTAGTCTTCTAAAACGGATTTAGATAGGTTATATTGAATTTGTTGTATTCATACACTGAAACGATTGATGGAAGTAAAATTGTGGATAAAGGTCATAACAAATATATTTTGATCACTATCATGATTGTTATAACCAATATTGCGTTCCCATTACGATTTCGGGAACTACATTTTTTTTTTTAAACTTTTCCACTTTTTGGGATTGGCGTCATTGCCTTGGATTTTCCTGGATTTTGTTGCGGAAATTGGGTTTTCCCGTTTTATTGGGATTATTTCTTTCCAATTTTGATTTTATAGGGTTTTATTTTTTTTCACCCACTCTTGACTAGGATTTTTTGCATTTCATTATTCGACCGCGTAAAAAACATATGTGGTAGAAACGCATCAAAATACATGTCACATAGAAAATAAATGATTCGAAGAACATCTTCACAAATGCACTTTGCAATAAACACATCAGTTTAAGTGCTTACACAAACTTATTTTTTAAACTTAGTCACTATTATTATTGCTTAGTAATTATTATTCAACACATATCAGTTTTAATAAAAGAAATTATAAATGTCTTTAAAACATCATTTAGCCTTTCTCACCTTTCACTTGTTTGTTATGATCCTTCACAGTCCCAGGCATCACATGCATGGGTTGTCCCACAGGGTCCGCATTCTGTACGAATTGCACAGCAAAATCGACACTCGTAGTCAAGTTTCGACCAATCACGGACCAGTGTAAACTTCCAAGCTCCACGTTATCCAAGCCAAGTATGCTCGGCTTCCAGTGGAGAGTTGGACTAAGAGAGGAAAAAATGCTCTTTGAACTAAGGTCGGTAGACTTTATTTGCAAAATTTTACTAGAATAGTATTAAAATTTTTTTAGGTTTTTGGTAACGGAATCCGTTGCTTGTCCCAGTATATTGAATGTGTAAAATTAATACTTTGCAGTGTTGTGTAAATGATAATTGCAAATATTACAATAATATTGTGTAATTAGTGATATTGTGCAAACAATAGTTATAGTGTAGTGAAATAAAAAATATCCAAGATTTTTGTGCAACAGAAATCCCGACGATGATTTAAGTTTACCGACGTAGAAATGAATTTTGATTCCAATGTTCATGAAATGCTCCCATTCTTTCTTGTTTGAAATTTAAAAAGAATAAGCTGGCATGGAAAGAAAAAATTAAATCTGACGAAGAGATCTAATTTTACATTACCTCGTTAAGACTTTTCTATTATGAAATGCTTCAGAAAGTCAAGACAACGAAAAGAAACGCTGCTGCATTACAATGCACTTACATTGAGAATTCCAGAGATTTGTGATATAAAATTTCTGACAACCTGTTGGAAATAAAAAGTGTCTGTTTTTAAGTCACATTGCCATCGAAGTCAATCATAAGAAAAGTAAATAACAGTGCACAGCGGATCGAAAAAAATGCGTTGAATTTTGCCCTCACTTTTTTTCATCAAATAACGAGTGCTTTGATCTTAATAAAAAAAAAAATAAAAATAATTTTCAGCTTTTTGCCTTTCGTTGAAGTTATAAAGAAATGTAAGCGAGTTTTTCTGAACAAACTGCATACGCTTCTTAGCATCAGGTTAAAAATGAAATTTTTAGATGAAGATCGAGTAGTTCAAAGAAGACTCTGATTCATTTTTCATGACTCTTGTTACGGTCTTGCTGAAAATGAATGAACTCATGTTAGAGGTTAATTTGAATTCAATTGCGTCACTCGAACAATATGACTGTACCGTTTCGTAAGCTGATTAGAGTCAACAAGATGAGCCTTTCAACCTACTATGGCTGGTACGAATGAAACATACAAACGATTTTGTGAGGTAAAAAAGTATTGTGTGATATGACAATTATTCAAGCTGCGGTCGTAGGTTGTTCGTGAACATTAAACAGTTTCGTTATTCGAAATTATCATTCAACTCGTGTTGCCCGATTCTCTCTAGCCTGAACTTGAACTGTTTGATCCTACGATTTGCTTTTATTCTACTTCTCTACGCTGTATGGCTGGAAGACTCTATGGAAGAAACATTTATAAAAAATTGAAATTATTTCCCGAATTATTTATTCTCCGTCACGACCATATTTTTTCTCAATTTTTGTAAGGTTTGCATGCAGTTTTAGGAACTGGGCAATAACAGTATAAATTCACAATCTTGATCTATTCTAGGAAACGATCCAAACTGCATCTAAAGCCATCCAATAACCCTTCTTCTCCATCGGCCAGGAACTGCTCTATAAATCTGGTCTGCTTTGCATTTCCCTTACCTGGAAGCGTTGACCACCAGCGAATGGTTTCTCCACCCGAGCAAGACAAATGAACGCAAGGAGCGTTTTGCCTCTCCATCCATCTGGCACGTCACTTCGAAGCTCCCAGTGGCAAATAATGCGGTGGTTGAGCAGTTTACGAAGCTCTTCGGTGACTCGGCTTCATGGGCTGTCAGTAAAGACAGTGGCGGAACTTCGGCTTGTCGGAGCTCTATGCGACACGGCTCCATTTGAACACCGACCGAATTCTTACCGCGGCACAGAACTACAATAGAGTCACTAGTGAAATTCAGAACAATTTTTAAAACGTCTTTCCTCTCAGGCAGTTGATTCTGGTTAAATACGTGAGATGTTTGAGGAGAAACGACGTTTGTGGTCGAAACTTTCGATTCTTTCAATGATTTCATTGGCTGAGTTCGATTGTTTTTCATTTCTCTCATGAACCTCAATTCTCCGGAATCGGTTCTAACGAACGTTTTTCTCGAAGAAATATGGAGCAAGTTCTCCTTATCAGGCTCATCAATTTCTCGCTCCCGAAGATAGGTTTCGGTGCCGTCATCGTGTAGAATATTCCATTGAATATTTAGTGGCTTGAATGGAAATGCCGACACGTGGCACGTCAAAGACGCTGTCTCGCCAGGAACTGCTGTCTGAATGACGCTCTCATGGCCTGCCAAGCAGCGAGGAGCGTCTGAACGATAAGAATATACACGTGTTATTCCCTCTGAAATAACCGTAAAGATTTCCGGTTTAAGGAGAGTTCCTAATTCTTCTCCGTTACGGAAAATTGGGTGGGTAACTTATTAATAGAAAGATATATTATATTAATAATTAATATAATAATAGAAAGACATATTATATTGGGTTGGTAAGGTATTAATAGAAAGACATAACATACATGTCAGGTATCAAACGATCATACCATGAAGCAAAATTCTCTCATTCTGTTCAGATATTTACATAATTGATTACATTTTATCAACGGCCAATGGGCGCTATCCAAACCTTTAGTCTATATTAATAGCAAACTTCTTTAGTGATGTCAAGCGTGGATCAAGTTGAAGACAGCAGATTTATTACTGACCGAGCACTGGATCAAGTTAAAGACAATAAATATATAAATGACCGAGCACTGGATCAAGTTAAAGACAATAAATATATTACTGACCGTGCACTGGATCAAGTTATAGACAATAAATATATAACTGACCGAGCACTGGATCAAGTTCCGCGCACTGGATCAAGTTAAAGACAATAAATATATTACTGACCGAGCACTGGATCGAGTTAAAGACAATAAATATATTACTGACCGAGCACTGGTTCAAGTTAAAGACAATAAATATATTACTGACCGCGCACTGGATCAAGTTAAAGCCAATAAATATATAACTGACCGAGCACTGGATCAAGTTAAAGACAATAAATATATTACTGACAGAGTTTGATCGACAGACACTCACATGACACGGACAGTAATAGAGGGTCGCTGGCCCCTCTGCCCACGTCATTGGTGGCAATGCAGACGAAGCGACCGGAGTGTCGCGGGCCAACGTCACTCAACGTCAACGTCCGGTCCGCTATTAGGAAGCCCGACGTGTGGCTGGTCAAAGGAATGTCCTGGACACCGAAGGAATTTTGCTTAGATTAATTTTAATCACCATTATTCCCCCAAGCGAAAATACGAATATGAAAAGAAGCACACAAAAATTTCTTAAAAGAGAATTATAATAATTTTGACGCGAATTGCGAGCTGAAATGAAGGTAAACTTTTTCATCAGGAATCGTAAAGAATATAAAATATTTCAAAAAATGAGGTAACAAATGAGAGCAAATGATAGTGATAATTAATAAGAAGGCTGAATTATTGTATATTAAGAAGCATTAATCTTAAAAAAAACATTAAATTGTACGTCGGTAATTTGGAAGTGGAACAAAGCTCGTTGAATAATAATTTATGCATGAGTTATTGTAATAGAACGTTAATTAATGTTTACTAAAGCTGTTGTAGGCGGAGGTGTGTTGTAGATGGAGCAAAATGAAATGTCTTCTATTTTATTATTTTTTTTTGCTGGAACCAGGCGGTTTACTTAATGTTAATATAACATTGGGCTTTTCATAACAAATTTACAATAGCCAAAATTCAAATTGATTCCTAGCTCCACTAAGTTTTCATACAAGTGACTAACATTAAGTTGAAGATATATTTTTTAATTGTTGCGAATCGAGAATATTGTTGTTAAGTGTTACTTGTTAGCGAATTTTCTCATTTACGGAAAAAAATGCACTATATTATGCTCGCCATGTCCATCTGTCTGTCTGACCAGTCCGTCTGTCCGTCCCCTCCGTGACCTCAAGTTTTCGTCGACGAAAAAATGCGCTCTCTGTCACTCACTGCAGTGAATACTGAGTTATATTTTTTCATATTTATTCGCATGTATTCATTGAAATCTGAAAACTTTTTGAAAAAGTTATTAACATATGTTTCGCTATCTTTACATTATTAACATATTTGCGTTTGAATTAAATTATCAATGAAAAATGTTGCATGCACAGACGGACAGACGGACGGACGGACAGACAGACAGACGGACATGGCGAGCACAATAGTGCATAGTTGCATCAAGCAACTAATATTTTCTGGAATTTAGATATAAGATATTCATCATTTCAAGGCATAGAAGTAATAACGAAACCATGACAAGTTGGAAAAAATTTAAACATTAAATTAAAAATAACAAACTTATGAGTGTCTGGAAAGATTCTAACTAACTGGTCACAACCCGACAGACATTCACCAACTATTTTGTGGCATCAAACCAGCAATTCATACTTCGTTAATCAAACTCTTTTGCCCGCCCAAAAATACTTCAAATGCAGCAATAAAACTTCAAATGGAGGTATCTATCCGTCCAATAAATGAGATTTTTAACTGGTCACAACCCGACAGACATTCACCAACTATTTTGTGGCATCAAACCAGCAATTCATATTTCGTTAATCAAACTCTTTTGCCCGCCCAAAAATACTTCAAATGCAGCAATAAAACTTCAAATGGAGGTATCTATCCGTCCAATAAATGAGATTTGGTGCTGGACAAGCGTAAATAAAGAAAATTATTACAATTTGAATCACTTTACTATGATGAAACACTTCTCATTATCATAAGGCCAGTGGAGTACATATTCACGCAACTCTTTAAAAGCACTGTATTTACATTTCATTTCTAACTACATATTCAACACAGAAGTTCAAATTAATGAAAATGTTCTGGTTTACTTCATATTAATAAATTGGTTATTATGAACAGTAAAGCTCGAAAAGTCTGAGAAATTAATTTTGAATCCTTTTTTATATGCATCTGACTGCAAACTTCTATTATGATTATCGTCCGGATACTGCGAGCTCTAATGGTTTATTCGATTATGTATTTGATGAGAATGCGCAAGAAATTTTGTGTTTACTTTACGTTAAACAATAACGGTAAAAACGTTTTGCGCTTCTCGAAGCAGAATTCTGAAGATTTGTATTGAAATTCTGGAAGATTCCATAGCGAGTTTGCATGAATGACTTCTTGATAAAATTATATCATCTTCAGATGAAGATCACTCAGGACAGCGAAGTATGCGCCATTACTTTTTTTCTGTGACTTCTCGGGATCATTACCTTCTGTCTTTTAATTTTATGATCATTACCTTCATTGTATATGTACTCTTCATGATCATTAACTTTGTAGTCTATTATTTTTCTGTTGACCAATACCTCTTTGGTCTATTGCATCTCGAAACAGTTACCTCCTTTACCTAATACTTCTCACTAGGATTTCTTATTTATTATATAATTTCTCGTAACCATTAGCTCTTCTGTCTATTACTTTTCATGACTATTACTTTTTTCTATGTTTCTATCAGTCACCATTGCAATTTCTTTCACTTTTGACTGCATGTTATTTTCTCAATTGCCTAGCCAATGCGTCATTTGTCCATTATTTCCCGTTACCATCACTTCTTTCGTCCAGGTGACGTACTAACCATCACGTCATTTGTCTATTATTTCCCGTTAGGCAGTTACCATCACCTCTTTCGTCCAGGTGACGTACTAACCATGACGTCACTTGTCTATTATCTCCAGTTACATCACCTCTTTCGTCCAGGAGACGTACTAACCATAACGCCACTTGTCCATTAATTCCCGTTACCATTACCTCTTTCGTCCAGTTGACGTACTAACCATCACGTCATTTTTCTATTATTTCCCGTTACCATTACCTCTTTCGTCCAGGTAATGGTAACGGGAATCACATCATTTGTCTATTATCTCCCGTTACCATCACCTCTTTCGTCCAGGAGACGTATTAACCATCACATCATTTGTCTATTATCTCCCGTTACCGTTACCTCTTTCGTCCAGGTGACATACTAACCATCACGTCACTTGTCTTTTATCTCCCGTTACCGTTACCTCTTTCGTCCAGATGACGTAGGACGCTGGAGGCATGGCGTCCACCACGCAAGTGAGCTCAGCGGTCTGGCCCTCCGTCAGGTGATGTATCTTATACACCCGCTGGTCCCCGTGTCGGGACGGCGGATGAAGTTCTGGGTGTGTCTGCCGCAGCTCAGTCGGTGTATTTACCACATCCGTCTCACTCTGACGCAACTCCGGGTACATCTCTGTATATTTTCGCGGGACTTCTGAGTCTTCCATGTGTATTTCTGTCTGCGTTTGGAGCCCTTCTTTCTTCTGTGTTAGCTTTACTTCTGATTGCTCGTAGTTGGTTTCCGAGTCTGTTTGATGTGCTGAGTGTGTCTTTGAGATTTCCCGGTATGGTTGTTGTGATTTTTGGTGTATTCGTTTGCGGCTTCCATACGCTTGTTGATGCGTGTGTTTTGAATTGGGTTGGTCAAAGTGGGAGCTGAAAATAATTTTCACGGTTGGAGGGTCTGAAAATAGAAAATTTAAGGTTAATTTCAGAAGAAGCAATTCATTTATGAAGATAGACTAATATTTTTACAGTATTGAAATAGCTAATGAATATAATAAATATTAATAGAGGTTTTATGTTCATATTGCCACTAGATTTCATGCGTGCTGTATGTAAGTCAGTGCTCTAATTATTTACGAACGTAATTAAATAGGTTGGCATTTTGAAATATTCCTGTTTTATGTTGTATAGAAATCAATAAAGGTGTTACAATGAAAATAATACAGGCATTCATAGCTATTTAACTCAATTAATAAAATTTTGTATGACTCACAACCCATATTATTTAGAATTTGTTTGGCACTGTTTGATTTGTAATTAATTCCTTAATTCGCGGATTAATTAATTCCATTAATTAATGCTGAGAGAAACATTTTCTTCGTTTTAGTTTCTGTTGAATTAAAATATTAATTATGTTCGCTAAAATGAAATAAACATTTTGAAACCTTTACGACAACAAGTTATTCTTAAATTTATCAGAAAATAAGAGCTCTTACGGAGCGGAGGCTATGACGTCAGAGGATTTAGAATGAAATTGTTTGTTCATCTTATAAAAGATTCACTATAAGTAAACGCAAGACATCCTTCAAACAACTTATGTTGATTATAGATACATGCTGGGGAATCAAATTTGCATATTCTATGCAATAATATTTAAAGACATAGTTATAATGCTTTAAATGATCAAAGCTCCTGTCAGTAATGCACTGATTTTTACACTATTAATTTGAAAATAAAGCTCAGCAAAAAATTGCATCGGCTACAGGTTTACAATTATGCTTTAGATATAAAATATGTTAATTATAATTATTATATCTCAAAACAAATAAATTCCCTAACAAACAGCAGAGTTTGACCTATTTTCTTAATAAAAATGTAAGTCAAGATGCTATATTATATCTTCGTATTTGCTGGCACTAATCCAATACAATTGAATTAATTGTATGGGTTGTTTGAGTTCCTGTGTGTTGAATCCCAACACAATTCCTGTGTAATTGTGAAAGTTCTTTACACAGATACCGATACTCGGAACATAGCTACATTACATGGCGACTAAGTTTGTATCTCTTTTGTATGTGATGCCGCGTTTGATATTATAGGATATGTTGCCAGTTTGCTTTGACCACAACTTTTGCGAGTCTCGTGTCGCCTTAGGTAAGTGTTCTCCATTCGTCTTTTCAAATGATTTGACAGATCCGGAGTGCGATCATGAATAATGAATGAGTGTGTGTCGCGATCAAAATGAATGCTGAATGTGATGGCACAACCCACAGAAGTTTGCTGTTTGTGTGAGGTTCGTATTGTGTTATTCCCGCGAAGGTTTGACGAGTGATTCTCAATTTCCAGTAATGTTGACTTTGCTAAAAAGGTACTTAATGTATGGATATATCCGCTTAAATATCCGATAGAAAAAAATTAATCATCAATATAATCAGATGCTGTCGTCACTTTGGATATAGTGAATTGTAACGCGAATATTATATACAGCCCTTTAATAATTAAAAACGTCTGTTGATGTATTTAATGGCTATTTTGCGTTTTAAATAGTATTTTTAGTTGAAAAAAACATATATAGACAATAAAATTTAAATTAGATTACCTAATCATTAAAAACAAAACTTGAGTATCATTTTTGGACATCATAATAAAGAATTGCGCTAATTTCATTCTGCAATTAAATATGCCCACATGGCGAATGTAATAAAAAGTCACTCTTACGCAAGAATAAAAAAAATAGAATAAAATGAAAATAAATGTGTTAGATGCACCAGAACTTAATGAATTGCAAATAAAAAAAGAATCTGAAGGGTGAACATTCAGTTCTAGAAAAAAACAACTATCAAACATATACTAAGAAACTGAAGCAAATAATTCTATTTCACATTTGTCTCTAGTTCTGTTTGAAAAGATTGTGTTCTCAATCAAAAATGCAAACTGCTGTTATCGTTTTGGGAGATCCAGTATTGTATTTCTGTGTAGTTTTACGTGCATTGAAGTTTTCTAGAAACTCTATATTGATTTTGTATAAAAAAGTGCATACGTCGGTGTAGTAATAACCGATTTGCCATCATCGTTTTTATCGTACTAAACTCAACTACAAACAAAAAATTATAATAATTTAAAAATCCTCCAGAATTATTTCATTATAAATACAATAATGTAATTTTTTTAATTAATTCGCTCTCCTTTACAATTGGTTTATGAAAAATCTGTAAAATGTATGACAAGTCGAATATAAATAATAATAATGCCTCTAATTTCATTATGAAATCTAGACGTTTTGTACTGCTCTCTTCCGCACCTTATTCTTCACAAAATTTACACAAAATTTTATGACTTAATGACTTAATGTTTAATGACTTAATGTTTTAGGTAACATTTTTAATTGCCATTTGGCACTCAATAAATTTTCAATTCATTTATTGCTGGAGTTTTTGTTGTGCAACGTTGAAATTCTATAAGACATTTTTGAGGAATGTTTTCAGACCTGAAAGTTGCATGATAAAGTTCACTAGTGGAAGGTAATTAAAAACGGCGTTCTGAGAATACCATGATACTGTAAGATTTTTGGCATACCATAAGCTATTAAAATTTTCAATTCCCTTTTAATTTTTGACTCTAATTGTCAAATGATGATACTGTCCCCGAGAATTGATGATTTTTCACTGTATGAAATCCACAATAGGTGTTAGTGATGAAAAATAGTCATTTTTTGCCAACAGCTTACGCTTACTGAGAAATGAGTATACATATATGACGAAGGACGAAGTCCTCGAAATTCGGGAATCATTTCATTATAAAACATTTAAGGTATACCTATATAGTTTACAAATTCATGTAGTAAAAATTATGCTCAATGAATTGTACCATTTGCTCAGTTTTAAATCTCACCATCGCTTTCTATTACGATTATAAAAAACACCGATATTCTTAAAGACAGTGGTTTTCATAATATATTTCATAACATAATTTTGCATTGTTAATGAAATTTGCCCAAAGGCTTAGAATTTTTACATTTAGACAGAAATATTTTTTAAAATTTTTTGCAGCTCCAACGTACGTGGGCGGTATTAAATTCATGGAGCATACAATCTTCGAAACCGTATTAATTGTATATTGGGCTATATGATTTGTGTTTGGTTCTATATTTAATATTATATTGTAAGCTATAGAACAAAAATAAAATATTATTATTATTATTCAGATTCTGCCAAGTATATCAGTGCGTTCCGGTGCAGCTCCACGACAGACCTGTCGGTGTTCCCTCGTTTCCTTCCCTCACTTTATCGAAAAGATTGAAGGCCGTGCGTGCTCTACCAGGCATTCTTAGGCTCACAGATATTCTTTTACGCCAACTTATGGCTTCCATGTAGACAATAGATTATTTATAGCGCGCCTAGGATGATAATATTGCAAACATTGATGTATTTTTGAGGGCAGAGTGTTGACTCTAAATTTTATTAATGTATAATGAAACTCGAGTTATGTTATTATTCATCTCCTATAATAATTCTGTTATTTAAAAATTCTTTAGTGGGGTTCTGCCGTTATTCGAATATGATAAACATTTGCAGCTTTGTTTAATGATGAAACGGCATAGAAGCCTATATTTAACGTCTAATATTAAACAGACGAAGCCAAAGAAGGCTACAAATTTTTATGAGTAAATGAAGTTAAAAAAATTGAATGGGTAATGTTGTCCAAATATCTATGCACTTTGTCGCCCATAGCCCTCACAGCTTACAGACATAGCAATTGTTTTTTAGGGCCAAACTGGGTCAGGACGGCCCGTAAATGGTGTTATATGTATTTAGGAAATTCAGAAATTGTAATATGTGTATTAAGGAAATACGGAAATTGTAATATGTGTATTAAGGAAATACAGAAATTGTAATATGTGTATTAAGGAAATACAGAAAATGTAATGGCATTTGGACAATTACCCTTTCATTTATCTGAGTAACTTATCTGAGTAACTCAGATAAGTAACTTACTCGGAGCATTCAGCAAGAGAGACTTACATGCTACGCGCACCACAGCGCTCGTCGTTATCGTTGAGTGTGGGAGCTCTTCGTTAGCAGCGATGCAGGTGACGTTGCTGCCATCGTCCTGACGACGAGGCTTCAATATCGTCGTCACGCTGCTCACGTTGCCCCCGTTCGTCACCTGGGTCATGAATAATTATATATTTAAAAAGATATGAATAAATAATGGAGAGAAATTCTTAAAATATGGAAAAATTATTTACTTTGTCGTTGCCTTGCCGGTATTTGCGGAGGATATTGCGAAGACATTTAGTAAGGCTAACAGACATTACGTTCAATATTCGAGTGTTTTGTTGAACAATTCTACGTAAACAATTTTAATGATTTCATTTGATGGTTTGTTCTCAAGTTGGAGGCACTTGATTTGATTCTTTTCGCTCAAATTTTAATTAACCCGTAGAGTTTTAGATGCCCATTTGTGCTTATAGAAGTTGTCACTCTCGACCGAACCAATTGCACTGGCAATCCCCGTGAGTTTAATTAAACTCTTTAATAATGAATTTACTTGCAAAATGAGGTTATAGACAGTGTTTCCTCACTAATTTTTAAGGGTTTACACGGGAATTTCTGTGTTAGGGTTTTCGGCGCTCGAATTTCAGCCCTATTTTGAGAATGCGCATTTTTTCACGGGGGACCCTGGAATACGAGCAGTTCTTGTGCGAAAAATTTGTTCATTCTGTGGTACTTTTATAGGAGTTTTGCTAGTGGCAGTCGCACAGTATCGGTCGTAACGAGAACTTATGTCGTAAGGGGTCAAGCACGAACAAGTTACGATCGAGAAGCACGTCGAGCTTCTATAAAGCGTAGCATGGCAAAACGAATCCGGTAGAGAGCGCCACTTCAGACGAGTGTAACGAAGATCTCCTTCATCTCTCCTATGAGTCTTTTATTCCAATGAGCCACAGGACTCTGGCCCTGGGCCTGTGTAAGAATAGTCCTTCGGGGCCACAACCTCATAACTTTCCTTGATGAGGCCCCGTGGCCGCAGAGAGGCCACGGTCTCAGTAACTCAAGTCACCGGCCTCTGATATTCATCGTCATCGGAGGTAAATCTCGACGACTGAATTTTTACTCCGAGGCATCAAATTCCACTCAATAGAGGCAAGGAAGGAGATTGCGATGTTGATTCTAATGATGAAAACTTGTTGACTTAGTTTCTTTCTGAAGGCCACAGGGGATTTTGGCTCGGGTGGACCACGAAGGGATCTCGGGTGGACCAACTCTACTGGCGATGGAATCGAATATAGTGGTGGAACAAATCGATTAGTAATACAAAGAATAGAGTGGTGCTGGATAAAGTCGTTGACTGTGCATCAAATCGGCTGTTTGTTTACCGAATCGCCTGATAGAGGAGCAAATAGACCGGTGTTAGCACAAATCGAGTGGTGGTTCAAATCGATTACTGCATGGTGGACCAAAGAGACAAATGGTGGAACAAATGGACTGATGGAGATAAAATGAGATTAATCGGTTGTTGACTGACTCGATTGATCGTGGACCAAATAGACTGGTGGTGGAACGAAATTTTGTTTGTGGCTGTACAAATCTACGGGAGCTGGACTAAATTGACCACCACTGACGACGTGTCGAAAACTACACAGTACATATTTTTCTATAAAAGGAATTGATTTTATTGTATTATAGGCAAATTTTATTCGATGTCCTCAGGAAGAATTGTTTTGTAAATAACGATACGGATCTTTGGAAGCACAGTAGGATAACCAAACAATCCTATATGAATAACGATACTTATTTTCAAATACAATTATTGCAGGCTCTATTGAAGGAAAAAATGGCACACTAAAATATTCGGAACTACTTTTAGCAACGCATTTGGCGCAAAAAGCATCAAGAATATCCTATTAATAATTAATATTAGCATAGCATAGCATAGCATAGCATAGCATGAATCGACGCAGATGATTAGGCCGACGAGGGCCTGTCGTCGAGTCTCGTCGTCTTGCATTCAAACAAACTGCTAAAAAAATGGCCACGTGGCCACGTCAAGTCAAAAAAATTCGCAACGTGCGCTCCCTAAGAGCGCCCAGTCCGATTGTCCAGTGGTCGCACTCTGGTGGGAGGCTCCTCCACACTGAACATATAACTTGTCTGTCTGTCCGTCCGTGACTTCACGCTTTCGTCGACGAGAAAATGCGCTCTCTGTCACTCATTGCAGTGAGTACTGAGTTATATTTTTTTTACCCTGTGTTTGTATGTAAAACAGAGATAAAGCGAAACATATTTACGAACGGAACTGAATCTCGAAATAGTTATTAATTGCAATTGTGGCAAGTAAACTGCAGAGACACTGTAAGTCTGTGATCGTCCTGGACATGTGCAAGCGATGTGAGTTTGAGACAACGCTTTAATCATGGAAGCGGTTTCGTCCACAAGTACGCCATTATCTAACATTATTTATTACGGTACCATTGGAGTAGAACGTTCGGTTCAGAAGCTCTCGTCTTTGCAGACAACCACCTCAATCTGTTCAGTGCAATTATCTGCACTGCACCTATGGGTAATTTAAAAGCAAAAAAAAAAATGCCCGGCGGATTTATTATATTGAAACGTTCGAAACTCCGATTGAAACATTCGGAGACCGTCTCCCTCGTTCAATAGAAAAGAAATAGAAGAATAACAGAAAATTGCTTTTCAATAGAAAAAAATAGCAAGAAGTTCACTAGAAAAGAAGAACAATATCAGTAAAAATCAAAGTATACACCAAGAAACTTATGAGTATATGCGATGTTAGGGGATCAAATGTTTGATTAAATATAAGATCAGTATTTCTCATTTAGATATTTAGTCACAGAGACGTGACCTCGAGTAGGAATGCGTTATACAATGTCATTCTGATTTGTGATTCCACCACAGATCGAGGTCAATTAGTTGTGTTTACTTCTGTGTTTGTCTGACCCGTTTTGTTCAGTGGTGTTTTAAGCGATCGTGAATATTCTCTATTTTATTATTCTTTTCTTGTGTAATCCGTGCTGGATTTGTGTTATGTTTGCTTTCCCAGAAAGCTATGAAACTCAGATTTAGATAGATTCACGTTTAAAGTCGCCCTCAAGTAAACGTACGGTATTTGTATTTTTGGTTTTGCACTTGAAGTTAGGTTGCTTGAAATATTATTATTCTATATTCACTCAGTTTTATTCATCATACTCTTTGATAGCAAGATTTTACCATTCGATACTTGACGAACTACTGCACTCCTTGGAGCATTGCATGCTGCATGAGTTAAACATGTTCAATTAAAATCAATTGCATTTCTAAAGTGACTATATTTCACTTTGTTCCTGTTAAGTGGTATATCTTTGGTTTCCAGTAAAAAAAATGATACGATTTAATCTTCCATCTTTTGCTTGCAAGATATGATATTTTGCAAAATTTATCGGAAGTGGAACTTGAGAATTTATTTTTCCTCTTCACAATGTAATACGACACATCTTTTCCATCAACTAATACATCATTTCCACCAGATCAAATATTCAAATTATAGGCAATTTTACCGGTTTAAAAAATGAAAAAAATTTTATTTTTCTCAGAAGTAATTTTAATTTTGTTCAAATGGTTTATTCGATTTTTTCATGTTCATAAACACAAAAAAGTAAATTTTTCAAACTTCTTTGTTGAGTTGCACATGTTAATTTCAATCAGATTCACAGTGAAACAACAAAAGAGTTAATATTGCCACACCACAAGCAGCAGCCATTCTTATTCCATGCATAAAGCAACATAGGTAGTGCGTAGCTCATTAATGCAGAGGCGGTCTCCCGAGGCTCCCCGAGGCTATTTACACTGGTCGCTTTCTGGTTTCATTAGAACTTGGGAAAAATTTCGAGGTTTTAATTATGAAGAAGTCATACAATGAAACTCTTGGATAAGATAAGCCATAAAGCTGGATCATCTCGATTTTAATTAGATGACGACTGAATAGAAAACGTCGACAGGACATGCTTGTTTTGCTCAATGAACCCAAAAAAATACGAAAAAATATACGATTTTTCAAAAGACGTCATTGGGCTCTTTTACTTTCGGAAAATAAGAATTAACGTGTGAGATAGTCGATTATTAAATAACTTACTGTAATAGATGAAATTAACGGAATGAGAATTAATTAATATAGTTTGAATTTCATTTGGCGAATTTACTTACCGATTCTTTTTCGACGATAAGACACTCCATATTTAGTGGATTACGCATAGAACATATTTCTGATTTATCCGGTGGAAATTGTGATAGTGAAAATTTCACATGTTACTCAATCAACCCTCATATCTTGAGATAACTAAGATATCAAAAATCAACCAAAATCACTTAAAAATCAAAGAAAAAAATGATAACCATTGTATTTTGCATTTAAATTAAAATTAAATGATATGATGATCTCCGGTCAAAATCCATCAAAATTTTCAATTTAAACTGCATGAAAGATTTGTTGAATTGCCTTTGCACTTGGAACATATAAATATAAACAACTCTGATCATCCCAGGAAGCCTGTAGATTTGTTATCTCGTTGAAAACAGTGCTACTCTCAGATGGCATTGTCCCAGTAAGTCCTCAGAACTGAGTTATTATTACTCATACATATTTAGGTAGGGAGAAATCGTTTAAATTGTTATTTCACTGTTTAATGTTGACATACTATTACTCACTAATTATAATGATTATCATAGTAACTATAATTTACGGTTATAATTGTTACTATATTGTTAAATAATTTACTACATTTTGCGTTATTCCGCTGAGGCTTTTGATAAAAAAAGATGAAATGTAACATTACTACATACCGTTTGGTTGATGCTTGTTAGTCTTTCCAATTAATGTAGGAACAGAAGCATTACTACTCACAGTTCGGGTGATCCTGGTGAGTCTTTTTAATTAATGTCGTTACAGAAGCATTACTACTCACAGTTCGGGTGATCCTGGTGAGTCTTTTCAATTAATGTCGGAGCAGAAGCATTACTACTCACAGTTCGGGTGATCCTGGTGAGTCTTTTCCCTCTCCAGCGCAGGGTCAACAGCGCTGGTGGGTGGGAGCCCTCAGCCGTGCAGCGCACCACCACCTCGGTTCCCTCAAGGACTGGATTCGGAATTTCGTGAAGCCAAATTCTCACGGGAGGCACTGATGACATGCGCAGAATTTTTAGAGACCATGAATGAATTTACACGAATTTTTTTCATAATTACAATCTTCCGTATCGGTAGAGGAGGTGTTGTTTTGAGGCATGACACAATCGTATAAATGGTTAATTAAGGTTTTGTAAGCGGTATCTAAGCGATAAGCAAGCGCTTTTTATTTTCATAGAAATGAACGTGATATATAAGTTCATAAACATTCTTCGTATGTTTATGAACGCAGGTGCCAAATTCTGGCGTCAGGCGCCAAATTCTGGCGTTTAACATAATTTGGATTCAGAAATTAACTTAGGAGTTTTAGAGAGTTTCCATTTATTACGCATATTTTTAAGATAAAGTTTCGCAATTGTCTCTCGGACATAGCTGGGCATGGCTTGTTTGTTTGAAAACATTTGTTATAAAATGATATACGGTAGACTTACAATCAAAGTTCACTCTAGGGTGTACCATTAATGATTAAAAGTGACTCCAACCACAAATTCTGTTCGATATGTTAACGGTTAATCAAATTTGTATTAAATGCACACCAATAACACTTACAAAAATTCTACGATCAAAATCTACGCAAATATCCATTGCTGTCTTAAATCGAGCCTCTGCTAAAACCGAAGCAGGATTGTGCGCCGCAAATATGGAGTCAGCCGCCAATTTTTTCAAGTAGGTATGCCAAGCAATATTGGTTGTGGACTGACGCAATGAGGAGAGATTTTATTTTCTTACTACACGAAAAATTCTAAATAATATACTTTCTACAATTCTATGCTTGAATGCCCTTTTAATAGAATTTTTGTAGGTCACAGGATGAGTTCAGATATCAATACTTTACTGACAGCATGTGGGAAAAATTCCCGCAATTTTCATAGAATGATTCATTGCAATCGGTATCCACATTGACAGTGTTCAATGAAACTCAATTTCTTTTTCATCTTTTTTTTCTCATTCACATTCAATGCGTTGAGTAGATGGCATTCGCTAATCCCTTTATGATTTTTAAATCAAATTCAGGAGCGGCGTCCGCTATCGACCCTCTCACAAAAAATTATTCAAGTCCACACAAAATCTTAACTGAAAGCGAAAAATAATGTTTATATAGTGTCAGTATTCAGCAAAATTTTTACGTCTACACACAATATAACCCATCAACAAACAAATAATACATCAAAAAACATTTAATCGATACCCAAACTGGGTATCTATATTATATTATATTATATTATATTATATTATATTATATTATATTATATTCATTAACTATTTGTCTCAGCTAAACAATTCGTAAGACTCACGCGTGATGTTGAGCACGACGGCCGTGGTGCGGCTAGGGACCGTGACGGCCTGTACAGGGGACGGTGTAGACGCTTGGCAGATCACCGGCACGTTCAGCATGGCGCGGTGGGCGACCAGCGTTATGGTGCTGCTGGCGCCGCCCCTCTTCTTGTTTTCATCTAGAGCCTCGGTTTCATTTTGGAAGAATTTCTTATGAGCGAAAGCGGAGACATTTGATTTCACTGAAATATTCGTTTGTGAATGAGATGGAGTCGGATTTGAGGTTAGTTGATGTTTTGAGCTGAAAGTTCGTTCAGTAAAAGGGTTATTAATAAAATGAGAAGCGATATGGACTTGAGAAATATCATTTCTCTTTACTTTGTTCTGGTTCGTTGGATAGCGTTTATCGAGTGAGCGTAAAACCCTCTTTGTTTGAGAATATTTCTTACTCCTCCCACTCAGAGTTCTTTCACCATCAATTTCCATGAATTCATTCGGTTTTTTAACAGTAGAGTTTCCAGTGTCTCTCTTAGTAGTTGCTGTATTAATTTCGAAGTTATTATATCTGGTATGTGGATCCTCTATATTTCTTAAGTTTGTATCATCCTGTATTTTACCTAACTCTTTTTCCGATCGCTCATCTTTATTCAAATGCAAAAAACTTGCTTGTCTTTTCTGATGATGAAGTGGTTTTTTGCTTGCATAATAATTTCTTTCCTTAGAATCTAGACTTTTTGTGGCAGACCGCACCATTTTACCACCAACTTTTTTAGTTTGGGCCATCTCATTTCTATCGTCCAGGCGCTCGCGGTCTTCATCAACGCTGTTAAGGAACCTGATGTTATAATGTTCATCTGGTTCACTATCACCAGCATCATGAAAAAAATCAAGACATTTCTCAAAGTTCTTCACAGAGATCATGTGAAGTCCTCCTATATTATGTCCATACATATCACTGTTCCCGGTAAACGCTTCATCGTTCAACGCCACTTCTCCTACTTCAGATTTATCAGAGTTCCTATTGAGACGCGAAGCATTTCCAGGCGCGACAGAAACTTTCTCGCCTTCGCTGAAGTCGCCGGCATTCGCCTGCAGCTGTTTGCCTGCTCGCCACCAAGATATGGAAGGGGTCGGTCGCCCGCCTGTCGCCTGACACGTAACGTGTACGTAGGATCCTTCCTTCACAGGACCTAAGATCCCTGAGCTCACTTCTTGGCCTCTCCAGAGCAGGGATGGCGTTTCTGGTGGCACTATACAATGATGAAGTTAGTAATGGTAATGGTAATGGTAGTAGTAATAGTAATAGTAATAGTAATAGTAATAGTAATAGTAATAGTAATAGTGAGAGTAATGGTAATAGTAATAGTAATAGTAATAGTAATATTAATAGTAATGGTAATAGCAATGGTAATAGTAATAGTAATAGTAATAGTAATAGTAATAGTAATAGTAATAGTAATAGTAATAGTAATGGTAATAGTAATAGTGAGATTAATGGTAATATTAATAGTAACAGCAGTTATGATGACGGTGTTGATAAGGCAAAATCTAGCCCAATCAATCATTTCTCCAATTTTGATGCTCCTAATGTTTTTTTCAAAAGAACAACCATGCTATTGATAAATGAAAAATAGTGGGTTGTCATAAAAATATTTGTTTGTTATTAAGCAGGAAGCATCATCGATTCCGGAGTTTAAAAAACAATCAAAACATAATGAATCAATCAAGTCCTTATTCCGAAACTAATCGCCAATAGCATTTTTGAACTTCATTCTATTTGGAATTTTTCGAGACTTAAGAACATGCTATATTACATATTTTCAATCCCTAAATCACCGTGCTGATTTATACACACCAATGTATTGGTGAGTGCAATATATTATATGCACAATAGTTATTCAATGCACTCGTATTTGGAATACTCACGAACGACGTAAAGTTGTACTGTGCTGTAGGAAGTAGGTGCTCTACGATATTCAACCCTGCATGTGAATGCTCCATGATCTGCAGATCGTACGTCAGATAAAACCAGCGCCCCCAAAATGTTGCTATTGTCATACACTTCATTTCCCTGGATCTCGGCCACCATCCCTTCCAATATGAAATTTTTGTCCCTCGTAATCGAATGCCCCATTCGATTTTCAATGGAGTGAGAATCCAAGTCCGATCTACTTTTTCTCTTTCCCGATCTTCTTTTTGAGGGACCCGAAACACTGTTCGAACGAGGTTGCGTATTTCCGACCATCGAGGTAATGTTGGTCTGTGGTGGAGTTTGGCTGAAATTTAATGCTTGTTTAGGTTTGTGGTAATCACCGGATTGAGATACGAAGCTTAACATGTGCGGTAAATGACGAATGTGCGCGATTCTTCGATGTGCATTTAACTGGAAGAGAGTATGGAATGGAGGAAGTGTTGTATTTGCCTTCTCAGGCAAATTTAGGCCTTCGCGAACATTTTTTCGATTTGCTGGAAAAGTTTTGCTGTGTTTTGAAGTATTTGCAAAGTCATCGTCGTAGCCAATTTCTTCTGCAATGAATTTACTTGTATCGCCTTGCCCTTCAACATTCGCGCCTTTCAGACGCCCAAGATTTCCCTTGTAAACACTCGATGCGTTATTGATACTTCTATTATCACCGAAAACTTTCTTTCCAGATACCGATTTCTGGTAACTCAGCTCTAGCTCAGAATTTCGAATTGTTTCTTTTTTTCTTCGTCTTTTGGGGACTGGAGCCGCAGTGGTGACGAGGCCGGGTTGAGGAAAGACCAAAAATTTGGCTCTTGGTCCCAAAATGTCGGAATCTTTCCAGTGCTCGCCGTCCAGCCAAGAGCCGTCACGAGTGTCGTAACTGCAGGCAAAAAAATCAGAAAATATGTATTATCAAACTGATACCCAGATGTTATGATAGAATTAACTCAATGGATTGTTATGGGTGATTGCACTTACATTCCTACATTAATTCTGTGGTTTTCATATCATTGACCTGTAAACGGGTTCGGTGTAGCTGTGTCGGTACCACAGCAGCAAGGTAGGTTGGTCGCCGGAGATCCTCAAACCACCGCCGCATGGTAGCACCACTTCGCCTCCTTCTTTTGTGTACACAATTCTTGGGCTCAGGCCTGGCAAAGTAAAATTGTTGCTGTAAGAAATTTTTTACGGAGCATACTTCTCCCATGCACATCATAATATTTGGGCCTGTTAGGTAGAACCAGAGTGGACGAGCTTAGGCAAAACTCAGCCTCTAATCAGAACTCGCCCTAGATTGTTCACCAATTTTAAACCAATACAATCATCTCCGAGTTTTCATTCCAAACAGTCCTCCGAACAAAGAGCCATATTCTGTACAGTTGCCATAAAAATCTATGCACTCAGCTGAAGATATGAGTTAAACTTAGTACAAATACCGAGGACCCTCTGCTCCTTATGTGGGTTATCCTGACCCAGTTTGTCCCGGAAAAATAGACGAGCTGCATTCACTCTTTGCTTGTACAGGTGGTAAAAATGTGTATCGCTTTTCTGACACATGACCAATTAATTAGTCTGAGTGTGTAATTTTGAACATTAAGAGGTCAATTATTCGCAAAAACAGCTTGTCTTTCAATATATTTACGGCTTTTAATAGAACCTTAATGTAAGCTTATAAATAATGCCAATCAGAAAGAAAATCCGGAAACGAAGATAATTTTTTAAATGAAACTTTCTAGTTAAAGAGAACATAGGAGCATACACAAATAAGAATGGTGTATTAATTGATAATGTAACTAAGTTGGGCAACTTGTTAGGCAATGATTCTCAGGCTTAATTTTGTTGAAGATAGTTCTAATTTGAAGTATTTTACAAAATGTATTTGATGAAATTCATCACCTTCGCTGTTTAAAGAACTTTAAATTTCAGACGACAAGATATCCAGATTTTGAGTATTATTTTTTTCAAATACATGCGACATTTTGCAGATACAGAAAACATTTTTACTAGATTACTGTAAAATGTTATTAAAAGCTACAGTGTCATGTATGAATTTGAGATTTGCTATTTGCATAGCAACTATTATGTATTTTAGAATAACAAGTTTAACACGCCAAAGAAGCTAAGGAATTTTTTCTTGAAACATTGATTATGTATTTTCAAGTATATATTTTTAAAGCACAAATCTCTTTCTAAATCATGCACACTAAAAGAGAACTTTCGGACCTCAGTTAACTTCATGGTTTAAAAATCAGTCTGCATAGACATAATTATTTATTACACAGCTTTTAATTTTCTCATAGCTCTATCCAGGAAAAGAATGTTGCAGATAATAAGAGCAGCGAAGCGTCCAAATGTCCTGTTTGAAAATTATTGCCAATCAATGACCTGCAATTGTCGGCCAGTAATCGGTCTTTCAGTTGCCACCTCAAAGGTTCATTGCGATTGGAGGGCACCATTGAAATGCGCGACTACTTCGTAAATTTGAAACACGGAAGCGACCCAGCAAATGGATTGCTTTTTGCTGCAATAAAATGAGTGGCAATCAATATTCCTGCGGGGAGCTGATTTGCCGAAAGTTTTAAAAAATTTGCAAAATACGGATCGGGAAATCCACACTCCGCTGTAAATGCCTGGATGTCGAGTAACAATTCGAGAACAGAGAATGAAATTAAAATATATGAAACACCTGGAGTGTAATCATCAACCCGGAGAGATTACACATTGGCAACGATTACATGATGTGTTAACTATACTGTAAACAAAAAAATTTTATGTAGAACCTATAACGAACTCCAATAAACCTAATATAATGAACTTAACTGCATACAACATATGTACTGTTACGTGCATGCCACCTTGACTGACCAGGATAGTGCTTGCAGCACTTATTGATCTCGACGGTCATGACGATGTGATGATAAGCTGACATTGATAACTCTGTTTACTTTGGTGAATAACAATGCTTTTGTTTCTGGCTTGACTTTCGCGTGTAAGAACAGTGAATGTAAGCACGGCGTTTTCAAGTCGTGCACTCTGAGCTTAAATAATTATATTGTTACGGTAATTTAAAGTTAAGGGTTTACGGTTGCAGATAAACTTCACTTTTGTCCAAAAATTTATGGAATATTAGTCGATGTTTCAAATTTCAACCCCGAGTTCTAATAACAGTTACAAATTAATCGGTCTTTTTAGCGCATTTTCTGGTTTATGAAAAAAATGCCCTATTGTGCTCGTCATGTTCGTCCGTCTGTCCGCGACTTCAAGTTTTCGTCGACGAGAAAAGGCGCTCTCTGTCACTGCAGTGAGGACTGAGTTAAATTTTTTATACCTGCATTTTTTCAATTTTTCATTTAACATGACTGGCAAAAAACAAAAGATTTCGTCTTCCAAGCTGTAATTTTCCAACGCATGAGTATATCACGTTAACTCAGCGTATAACTACAGAATAACCATATAACACTATCTCGCTTTTTATGTTATTGACATATAATAAAAATACAAATATAACTTCAGAAACGATAGCGGTTGTGCTCGTAGTGTTCACAGAGACGCTGGTTGCAACTGTTCGTTGTTCAATATTTTCGTATCTTCACTAAAGTTTCTCTGGCGTATTTTTTTCGGTATTGCTGCCTTACGCACAAAGCCGTCTGAACTCTTCCCTTCCTCCCTTTGTTTTTTTAACTACAGTAACGAAGATGTTAAAACTTTGTTGCAGTCGGCGCACGTGGAGTCTCTAGCTTTTGATTTGAGAAAGATTCTATTTGATTTGACCGCTGCCATAAATTCTACATGCGCTCTATATGTGCTTTAAACTATAAATGTCTTTGTTACAATACGCTTATAATACGCTGTTTGATAAGCATCAACGTACAAGGCATGATTAGAAACGATAAAAACAATCAAATTCTTAATTTTAATGATGAGCTGATGATGCATCAAATACCATCAACAAGTATTTTTATCTGAGAATGCAAGTGGTATAAAGAATATACTCGGCAATTAAGTTGATTTCTTATTGAATTATTTATTTCCTTAAATAATTATTCTGATCGATTATAACTGGCAGATGTGTTCCGATTAATTAGTGCGTTCATTCCATAATATTTTAACTCCGCTATTGCCAGCAGATCTTTCTAGCACGCCACCACGATATTTACTCGTGTAACAAGTTTACTTGAATACCACACTACCCAAACAAGAATTTAATAGCAAAGGCAATGCCTAGTAAATTCACGATATATTTCTTGAGAACGTTTAAAGTGAAGAAATTTTTCATCAACTCATCTTTTTCTATTCTTATAAATTATTGGTCTGCAAATTAGTCTCGGGGAGTTTCCGCTTCTGCATTACCGACGCGGATCGGTGTCGCCAAGAAAGAAATTCGGTGTCGTTGATAGTGATTGCTGTGCTGCTGACAGTTGATTGGTGATTACTGTGCTGGTGGCGGATTATTGGTGATTATTCTGATGCTGGCGGATGGAAAATAAAAATATTAGCTGGAGTCCCTCGTAGTTCTTAGGTTGCAGAGAACAGAAACGATAACAAATTCTCCTCCTGGACCGGAATCCCAGAAATTGTTCACCTAGGTTTCAGGATCCCTGCTTATTTGCTCAACATTAACTACGGTATTATCCTCAGTTCATTGTTTGTTATAAAAACTTAGGTTAAGCTATTACTTAGGCCATCAACGTGACTCGAGAATTTGGAACACGCAGCGTACTGTTATTAAAGAGGCTAAGTATTTACCAATAGAACAAAGACTTGGAAGAAATAATTTAATGTAAAACGAAAATATTCCTCAATTAAATAAAGGGACAGAGGAAATTTACAAAACAAAGACAAATTTTACTGGAAATCCCAAAGAAAGTGAAATTATTATTTATTTTCACCCATGTACCTCCAAAGTTTAATCAAACGAATTATTATCTCAGGGAAAATTCAAGTCAATAAGGAGAATGCTCAATGCATAGTTAGCTTTCTCCATGAAAATTATTTGAAAATTGTCTCCAATTTCATTTAAATAACTTAAAAAAGTTTAATAGTTTCGATGCAAAACTTCGAATAATCATTTGAGTAGAATATAGAAACTGATTTGCAATTAATTAACCAAAAAAAAAAGAAAAATGACTTCAAAACACAGTAAGATACATCTAAATTGAATCAAAACCCTGCAATAACGACTCCTATTCAATTATTCTGAAAAACTGTTGCATTCAAGATTAACTCTCTGACACGTGCATTTAAAAAATACTCTCACTTCCTGAACCGAGAATTAAATTTCGAATATTGACGTGCAGGATCGGAATTTCCAGACCTTTTTATTAGAGATTTATGTTATTGAAGCGCCGATCTACGGAAAATAATATAGTCATTAAAGATCTGTGAGAAATGAAGCGTGTGATTAATGAAGACAAGTTAATTAGCCCAGCCTCGACCTTTTGAAAATTTTCTGATGTTTTCATATACTTTTAAGTTTTATTATATTACAACCGCCCACATGCGCATCAATAGAATAATTCAAACGAAATGTTGTGCAAAATCAGTGTTTTTTCTTATATTCTTAATTTTTCCAGTTGATAATATCAACATTATTTCTGTCTGCATGTAAATATTATAAACATTCATAATTCAGGCATGAATATTGAATAACCATTGATGCATAATGAATGATTGCTCATAAATTCCCATATTCTTCATTTATTTGTTGGTTATATGGCTGTTAATTAAGATTATTATTAAAGTCTTCAGAACCCGACAATTGATTTATAAATGGGAAACTAGTGGCTTTCAAATTATAATGTTGCATTTATCGAATTAATTTTTACATTATTCCTAAAAAAGCATCGTCTTCCAAGAAATGTGGGAAATGTGCATAAAAAAATTTGTATTCAATCCTCCAGGACGATAGAAGTTTAGAAGTTACTGTCAAAATTTGACAAAATAATTTCATCTTACGTGTCAGATTGAGTTAACTCGTGCCGAGAAGTTCCAGCCATCACATAACTTTTGGATGTTAATCAACCGCTAAAAGTTTAGTTTACCAATAACTCACCGCAGGTAGCAATGTAATCTCGAGGTCAGCGATAAGTCTGCAAGTTAAGCTAATTACCGTCGGGCATCAAATTCCTTCCAAATTTCTTTCTTTTCCAAC